TAGAATAGTAGATTAAGAGGAAGAAATAGTCAAGTTTTTCTCTTAGATTAGGGCTTGGCAGCAAGTCTCCGGAGGCAAGCTGGAAGTCGTTTTTGGGGAGAAAAGCAAAAGGAGAAACCGTACGGGGTTTGCAAAACGAGAGATCGTAGTTTCTTCCTCAGTTCTCACTTCCCCAATACTCACTTAACAATCGTCTCCGATAACACCTACAACATGTCCACAAGTCTGCCTCTAAGTCCGGGCGCATTTGCGCATAAAGTTCAAATACATATATTCAATAAATACTTCCGTTTTTTTCTAAGCGAACGGCCGATGAATGGCCTTGAAATTTGGTAAGAAGATGCGCAACAAGGAGTCTAAGGATAGTGTTGCAATTTTTGAAAACCTATGAGATTGAAAAAATTGCCTCTTTCTGATCTGGTCTCCGGCGGAGATCTGCGGGAAACCTCAGGTCTCCGATTAGCAAACGCTTTTTTTCCAATTTTTTGTTGTCCTTACAACAAAGATTTTAATGCACCCCAGGACACATCTTACAGCGCAATAATCAGTCAAATCCCACCCTTTCTTCCCCACGAGAGCCCTGAAGTTCACGGTAATAAGAAAACGCTCTCCAAGCAAATAACGCTGCACTGCTTGTCCTGTTTGCACGCGTTTCTATAGATTGAAAAGGGGACTTCTGTATTCTTAAGAGGGTATTAGTTCTCGTAAGGGCATGTGACCGTATAAAGCGAGCAAAATAATTTTTGATTTGCACTCGGGTAACTCTATCTAGTAAGCTTAAAACCATTTTAAGCAATTTTTCTTTCATTTTGGTTTAATGGTAAAGCTAATTTGATGCTGCAGCTAACTGAGAAGATGCTACTTGCTTTGACTGGAAGGAAATAATCAAAAATAACCTTATTGTAGTTTAAATAGTACTGCGTGCAAAAGTGCACACATGTGACGAGAAGGGCCACCAACAGTCCAATTACCTGAACGCTCAATCGAATGTCCTTATGAGATCTAAATAACATTTTGAAGACGAGTTCCCATTTTTTAGGGTTAGCTAAAAAATAGACGTAAGACGCACGTTCGAATGGAGTGATTACGAACGGTTCGAATGATTAGCCCGTAAGCCATCGAGCATATAATGATTGCAATCAATGGAATCAGTGCTGACTTCAAATAATGACCCTAAAAAACAATTTTCAATCATAATAAACTGCACTTATTAACGATGTTATCGATAAATAAATAAGCAATAATATTTGTTTGCTTATGTTTAATCATTATTTGGAAGTTTTGGAGACATCATTTTTCACCAACAACTCAGTATTTCTAGATGCTATAGATAAGTACTATGAGACAATATTTTATCAGGTAAGTAACGACCAATATTCGGTAAAAGTCAAAATATTACCTCAAGGACTTCTCGATCAATAACGACATTCAGATTCGTTTCGTCGTTGAAAGACATTGGAACAAAGAACATATTGGCGCATAGTAGAACAGAAGTAATATATTGAAAGCCGAAAAATACCCATTGAGGAAGTTTTAATAAGTGCTAAAATGAGATAGTTTTGCTAAAGTTGCTAGACTCGTCAAAATAATCTACATAGAATTAGATATTGGGTTCCTTTGTACATACCGTTCACATTTCATTTCATGTATCATTCTTTTTGATTGATCTTTCTTTTGATATTTGAAAAAGTTGTATGGCCAATGTCATTTGAGACTGATTTATCGAAATGCCAATATCTCAGAAGTGTATTTTCCGCGATTCCGACACGATTTAGAACTTCTTGTGACAGTTGATCTTCTAA